TCTGATGAAACTCACTACCCTATTGGGTGACTATGCCATGAGGCCCACCGCCAAGGGCTCAGTGAGCAGCTCCTCTGGGAGGACTCCAGCACACCATTTGCGAGGCCTCCCACTGCCACTCTGTGGATTGTTTTCTGCATGGCTCATGGTTTGTTTTCTCTCTCATTTTCTTCCTTCTGCCTTCCTTTGTGTTAATTGATTTTTTGATGTGACACACTTAGAATCCCTTCTTATTTCCTTTTGTGTACATGCTATAGATATTTTCTTTGTAATTACCGTGAGGATTATGTAATACGTCCTGAAATTGTAGCAATCGATTTTAAATTAGTAAGTTCAATCACATACAAATAATCTACTCCTTGACAGCTCTACCCCTTCCTATGTTGTTGTTACAAAGTGTATCTATATTTTAGAGAGAAGGTCTCACTCTGTCACCCAGGCTGGAGTGCAGTGGCACTGTCATAACTTATTGTAACCTCCAGGCCCTGGACTCAGACGATTCTCCATAGCTGAGACTACAGGTGCACGCCACCATGCCTAATTTGTTTTTTTAATAAATTATATATTTAACACAGACTTATGGTTACAAATCTCTTTTAAATCCAATAGAATAATTCAAATCAGAGATATGAATCAAAATTCCAATAACACAGGTCTTTATATGTGGCTTCAAATGTCCACCTAGCATCCTTTTTTTTTTTTTGACTTGAAGGACTCCCTTTAGCATTTCTTGCAAGGTAGGTCCCAGCGTAATGAACTGTCTCAGCTTTTGTTTATCTGAGAACGTCTTAATTTCTCTGGTCGGGTGCAAGGTGGGAGGATCACATGAGGTCAGGGGTTCAAGACCAGCCTGGCTAACATGGTGAAACCCCATCTCTACTAAAAATACAAAAACATGGTGGCGGATGCCTGTAATCCCAAATACTTGGGAGGCTGCACCAGTGTACTGCAGCCTGGAGGACAGAGCAAGACCCTGTCTCAAAAAGATAATAAAAAGTGTCTTAATTTCTTCCTCTTATGAGAGTTCATGAGATGCCTTTATGTAGTAACTTATTGTTGTAACCGAATGAGTGCAAAATCACCACCGAGACAAAGACTAGGCCAAATTACAGGGTCGTCATTGCTGGTGGTGATGAGGACTCGAGCCTCAAAGAGAGGGTGTCAAGACCTTTTATGCCTGTAAACCACCTCCTGGGTGGGGGTAAGGGTGAGGGGCTTTAGACATTCCGAGGGCCGGGGACTTCGGACATTCCAGCTGTTACTTAAGTGGTTCACGGAAGTCAAGATAAGCATAGTTTACACATTGTCTGGGTAGGGTGGAAATTACAGACCTTAGTTACTTATTACAAGTCACAGGGGCCAAGATGGCGTGGGTTTGGACTGCTTGCCTGTCACATCAGGCTTACAGAGAGCAATTTCAACAGAAAGCTGAAGTATGGCTGAGGTATGCAGTTTTATGGGGCATTTCCCATGTCACATTATAACCACCTTTTAATTTGTCTTTCAAAATTTCACTATAATTGGTGACTGCTTTTCTTAAATACTTCACTGGTGTCCAAGAGAGGAGAATAATTTATCCCTTGTTTAAAAAATAATAATAAACCCGGCCGGACATGGTGGCTCACACCTGTAATCCCAGCACTTTGGGAGGCCGAGGCAGGCGGATCATGAGGTCAGATGTTTGAGATCATCCTGGCCGACATGGCGCAACCCCATCTCCACTAAAACACACGCAAAAAAAATTAGCTGGGCTTGGTAGCACCTGACCGTAATCCCAGCTACTCAGGAGGCTGAGGCAGGAGAATTGCTGGAACCCGGGAGATGGAGGTTACAGTGAGCCGAGATTGTGCCACTGCAGTCCAGCCTGGGTGACATAGCAAGACTCTGTCTCAAATAAATAAATAAATAAGCCCTAAGAGGAAGGGAGAGGACCTTAACTGCAGATAAGAGTCCATTGTTACCCTGTGGCTGTAAATCTTCTGAGTTGCTTGTCCTGTCAGATGTTCTGTTGATAGCTGTAGCAGCTGACAGTTTTGTATTTACACGGTCAGAACAATGAGTGCTTTTGCTTGATTCCCAGATTCTCCAACCTTCCCACTAAAAGGGCATAGAAGTCAGTGGCAACAAGAGGTGTACTTCCAAGAGCTACAGATGCCAGAATTAGTGGCTGCCATTCACAGACATTTAAAATTTAATGAATTCAACAGCAGAAGAGAAAATTAATCAACTGGAAAATACAACAGACGGCAGATGACACGAGAGGATCCAACATGTCTCAAATTCCAGGCTGGGTGTGGTGACTCATTATTGTAATCCCAGCACTTTGGAAGGCCAAGATGGAGCCACACCACCTGCTGTCTTGGCACTTCATGAGTCCAATGCTGCTTCCTGAGAGGATCTTGTTCGTAGACCATGACCTTGATTCCTGCCTCTAAGCCTAGCTTTATTCTCAGCAGCCACCACCTTTTTGGTACTAGAACAGTGCTTTTTCTAGTACACTCATAAGTGGATGCTGAAATCACAACCTGGCCATTTGGATGTTCAACTAATGCTTTATGCCGCAGAGTCCCTGGAACTCACCGGAGCTCAGGTGTGTAGCACTACCTTGTTACTCTACGGCTGGGAGTGCAAACATTGTTGATGTGTTTATTTCCCATTTTTTACTTTGGAGGTTTTGTTTTGTGAGACAAGACCTTACTCTGTCATGCAGCCAGGAGTGTAATCATGGCTCACTGTTGCCTTGACTTCCCGGGTTCAAGCCATCTCACCTCAGCCTCCAAAAGTGCAAGGAGTATAAATGTGAGCCACTGCACCTGGCCTACTTTTGAGCTTTGAGTTATTTATATATTCTAGAGATGAGTCTCTGGAGATGAGTCTTTGGTCTTATAGGTGGTTTGTAAACATTTTATCCAATCTGTAGCTTATAATTGAGTCTTTCAGAGAGCAAAAATATGGTCTCTCTTGGCAATACTCTGCCGCTGTAGCAGGAGAGCAGACACAGACAGTATGTAAATGAACATGTGGATGTATCCCTTAAGTAAATGTCCATTTGTGGTAAAGAGATCTCTAGACAGATCAGTGCTGACAGGTTATTTCATTAATACTTGAGCTGCGAGTCATCTGTAACCTCATGCTTACTTTCTCTTATTCCACTGTCTTCTGTTGCTGCTGGTGGGATAGCAATTGTCAGCATGTTCTTCCTTCTTTCCACCCTCCTCAGTAGCTTTTAGGACCTTTTCTTTGTATTTTCTGCAATTGTGTTTGGATGGGTCTAGGTATGGATGGATTTGGAGATTGTGCCTCCTGACTCTAAAGGGTCCTGGGTCCTGTCTCTGTTTTCATTCTGGAATTATTATTATTATTATTATTATTATTATTATTATTTTTTTTTTTTTTTGAGACAGACTCTTACTCTGTCACTAGCCTGGAGTGCAGTGGCAAGATCTCAACTCACTGCAACCTCCACCTCCTGGGTTCAAGCGTTTCTCCTGCTTCAGCCTCCCAAGTAGCTGGGATTACAGGCAAACACCACCACACCTGGCTAATTTTTGTATTTTTAGTAAAGATGGGGTTTCACCATGTTGGCCAGATTGGTCTCAAACTCCTGACCTTAGGTGATCCACTCATCTTGGCCTTCCAAAGTGCTGGGATTACAATAATGAGTCACCACACCCAGCCTGGAATTTGAGACATGTTGGATCCTCTCGTGTCATCTGCCGTCTGTTGTATTTTCCAGTTGATTAATTTTCTCTTCTGCTGTTGAATTCATTAAATTTTAAATGTCTGTGAATGGCAGCCACTAATTCTGGCATCTGTAGCTCTTGGAAGTACACCTCTTGTTGCCACTGACTTCTATGCCCTTTTAGTGGGGCTTTGGTTATGGCAATCGTATGTAGCACTGGCTGAAGAATCTCAAGGTAGCTAGTGCTAGAACTGAATTAGAGGTCCACCCTGGTAGTCGGGACAAACCCGCACACATTTGCTCACAGAAGTCATCTTCTGTGTTGATGATGATTTTTGCGGTATGAGAGCGGAGGGAAAACAGGGGCTGAGCATTTTCCCTAAACGAGAGTGGAGATTCAAATCCTTAGTGAGGCTGGGTGTGGTGGCTCATGCCTGTCATCCAGCACTTTGGGAGGCCAAGGCAGGTGGATCACCAGAGGTCAGGAATTCAAGACCAGCCTGGCCAACATGGAAAAACACCATCTCTACAAAAATACGTGCCTGTATTTTTGGGAGGCTGAGGCAGTAGTAGTGCTTGAACCTGGGAGGTGGAAGTTACAGTGAGGTGAGATTGTGCCACTACACTCCAGCCTGGGTAGATCACAAATAAGAGAGATAATTGACTCACAGTTCTGCAGGCTGTACAAGCACAGCTCCAGCATCTGCTTGGCTTGTGGCGAGGCCTTGGGAAGTTTACGATCATGGCAGAAATGGGAATGGCTGCAAAGAGAGAGAGGAGGTGCCAGGCTCTTTATAAACAAACTGCTCTCAGGTGAACTAACAGAGCAAGAACTCACGCTTCACCAAACGCAGGATGCTAAGCCATCCACCCCCTCTAACAAATGTGAAATTTGGAGAGGACACACATCCAAGCTGTATCAGGACTTAAATGTTTTGTTTTGACCCTTAGCTCCTTGGATGACAATTATTTGTTCTCCCTGGCAAGAGAGAGAGATGGATTTTCCCTCCGGGGGAAGGCAGATGCCAGACAGGGCGCAGAGTGCCAGCTGGCTGGGGCGGCTTACCGCACTGTGGAGGAGGGGCCGGGGCCCGAAGTTGCAGGCAGACAGGTGGATGTAGGTGGCCGCCAAAGTACAGGCAGATTGGAGCTCCCGGGTGCCACAGGGGTCCTGCACACACAGGCTGAGGAATGGTTCAAGGTCCACCTGAAATCGGGGCCACCCAGTCACTGTCTCTAACCTAGGCCCCTCCTCCATGCCCCTCCCCAGGGTAGACTGGGGAAAGGGCTTTCTTTGCCCCAGGGGCCAGGCTCACACCACCCAGAAGCAGTTCCCCAAGCTGGAACGGGGGTCCTGGAAGAAGGCCCGGCAGGTGGGGCTCTGTCCTGGGCAGGTCGGCCGAGTCTTCTTGGTGGCCCTGCGGTCACCATCCACCTGGCGGGACAGACGCAAGACTCAGGCCTCCCACTGAACCATGTGGCTCCCCCACATACATTGGCCTCAGCAGGAGACTTCCCCCCAACCCTGGGTCTCCAAAGACCGCTGCAAAGCCAGCAGGCCACCTGCCTCTCCTGGGACTCTGCAGTGAGCAGCCCTTAAGAGCCTCAGCCAGAGGGAGGAAGGGCAGGTGTACCTGCTCACCTGCCAGGCCAGGCTGAGCTCCTCCAGGCTGTGGGCCACAGAGCCAGCCGGCAACATCAGCTCATTGCCTGCTTTATTGTCGTTGGTGCTCAGAGGGCCAGCGGATATGCCTGTGGGGAGGAGGGAAGCTGAGGATGTCCTGAGAACCCGTGATCCTCCCCCTGGGGACCTGTATGAGAGACAAGCCTGAGGCACACTGAGAAGTGGTAGAATCCCGCCACCTCCACCCCAGACTGCTGGAGCCCAGGGCTCTGGTTCCAAACCCTCATCAGAAGAGGGAGAGAAAGCACAGGGACTAAGGACAGCATATGTTCCCCTGACCCCTCTCCACATCCTCAGCTTGAGTGGCCGGAATCCAGGCCCACCCTTTATGTTCCTTGGCAGAGGGACCACAGAAGGGCCCACCCCACCCTTATCCCAGGGAGCCACATGTCCCAGGGATGGGGGCAGAAAGCCCTGGGCCTTAGTGCCATCATCTCAACGACAGTTGCTGCCTAGAGCTCGGGGATCTGTCGCACTGAAGGCTGAGAATAGTGCATCCCAAAGAGGCTCTTCGTGGTGGGGCCAACCCCGCCAGGGCGCAGACTCACCGTGGTGCCAGAGGCCCAGAGTTAGGCTGCAGAGGCTGGTGGGCATGTAACAGGAGATGGACACCCCGTCCTCACTGGCCAGTTCAATCCTGGGGACATCCTTCCTTGTCATGGCAGGAGGCAGCTGGAGGTCTGGACAGCTCTCCCCCGGCAGGTAGGAGTTGTATAGCCTGTAGGCCTGTGGACCAGAGGGGGTGGGCAAAAGGGCTGACCCACAGCCAGGGGACAAGCTTGAAAATGCCATTCCCCAGGCAACCTGCCCCAGGCACAGGTTTCCAGGGGAAGCTCAGTCCTCTCCTCCTCACCTGCAGGCTGGGGTAGAAGATGAGGGTCACGTGTTTCAGCTCCACGGTCAGGGCCATGAGTCCCAAGCCTGTCCGACTCAGCATCAGGGAGAATGTGTTGTGAGCAAAGTTTTGGGCCCGGAGGATGCTGCCGCGCTGGACGCTGAGGCCCCACACCCGGCCGTTGAAAGCCACCATGTGCTGGGCCTCGGCCACCAGGGCATGGTCTAGGGAGAAGCAGCCCCAAAGGCAGGGTGAGTGGAGCCAGCTCCACCCACCACAGTGGGAGCACAATGCCTGCTGGGCACCCCAATGCCTAGAGCCCCGGCTTAGGCTGCCCTGAGGCCAGGTGTCCCCCTCCCCTGGTGCAGCAGCCAGAGCCCCAGCGATCCCCCACCAGCTTCAGGATGACATGAGCTGAAGGGCTACAGCCAATTCAGCCCTAACGAGGAATTGAGTCCTGAGACCCACTCCAAAACTGCTGTACTAAGTAACAAAGCCTGGCTCAGAGGCCACATATTCTATGCTTCCATTTATGTCAGATGTCCAGTGTAGGCACAGCCATGGACATAGCAGGAAGACTGGCAGCTGCAGGGTTTCATTTGAGGATGGTAGAAACATTTTAAAATCGATTATGGTGAAGCATGCACAACTCTAAATAAACTAGAAGCCACCGAATCGTGCACTTAAAATTCACAGATTGGCCAGGCATGGTGGTGCTAAGCCATGCTAAGCCCAGCGCTTCACAGGGCTGAGGTAGGAGGATCACTTGAACCCAGGAGGTCAAGGGTGCAGTGAGCCAAGAGTGCACCACTGCACTCCAACCATGACAACAGAGTGAGACGTAGTCTCAAAAAAAAAAAAAAAAATTATATCACACAAGCCGTCCATTTAATCTCAAGGAAGCTACTGGGGGGAAAAAAGACATTACATGGATGGCCAACGGCTCCCTCAAATATGACAGCGGTGTCCTGCAGACCTGCCTTCTGCAGGGTAGGGAAGAGATGGCCTGTGAGGGAGCAGGTCTGACCAGTCCAGCCAGCGCGGCCCCTGAGCTGTGCCTTGGGGGTGCTCGTGCCCATGGCGGGAAAGCACCATCCGTCGTGCACAGCCAGACACCTGTTGGCCAGGGCTAGCATCCTGTGGGAGGCACTACCAGTCCCGTGGTCAGCTATCAGAACTGAGGGGCACAGAGAAGCCCATGGTCACACACACAGAACTTGCTACAGCATCAGCGTGCTGCTTAGACATGACTGCACCCATGCTTCTAGGGAACCCTAGGCCTCCATGTGAGTCGCACACAGATAAACCGCTCTTTGCCAGGCCTGGGTACCGTGGCTCCCCCATGGACATGAGGGGCTCCCTCGTGCATTAAGAACAATACATACCTCTTACCCATGTGAGCGAGCCACGTGGTTACCTGCATTTCACAGTGGAGGAATCCAAGTCCACAGAGGTTAGCAGACTCACCCGAGCCACACACAGTCTCCCCAGGAGCCCAGAGCCAGTCATCTCAGCACCAGATAACCCCTAACCTGCGAGTCTGAACTCAATTAGTGCCCTTCCAGCTGTAATGGGATATCTGGCTTCTGCCCCAGCAGAGCCCACAGGGAGGGAGCTGACCTGAAGCCCTAAACCACCCACTGTACTCCTCTGTTGGGCCAAGCCTTATGTTCTGGACAAAAGCAGAATGTGTAGCCTCAGCCCTAGTCCCATAGGACCTTGGGAAGTCCAGTAAGCTCTGGGCCTGGCACTGTGATGCCACGAGCCTCTGCAGGCTTCCCTGTGCCCCCACAGTACCTGCCCCTGCATGGCCCTGCTGCTGTGCCCATGGGGAAGGGGGCTCCCAGGGAGGAGGGTGGCACAGCCTGGGGCAGGATTCACACTCCCAGGGACCCTGCAGCAGGTGGCATCTGAGCTGGCAGAACTCAGCCAGCACGTTGGGCCTGGATAGCTGTCAGAGTGGCCGCAGCAGCTTCTCCTCCACCAGGTAGCCAGTCACCCAGGCCACGTCACCCCCAGGTGGCAGCAGCGTCACCACCACTGAGTAGTTCCTAGAGGGAATGCACAGGACAAGTCACTCTGCCTGGCCAAGCCGTGCTTCCTTTGGCTGTAGAGGGGGAGCTCACAGGTCTGCAGGAAGAGCTGTGCCATGGAACCATGTGGGTGCCTCTTGGGGAGGGGCTGTCCTTGTTTTAGGAAATCCCATAATGAGGTGGAGGAGCACAGAGGCTGGCATGATGGCAGAGGTGAGGTTGAGGCCAGGACAGAAACAGCCTGCACTATTTTGAGGACATAGATATCTGATGTCATGCCTGATCTGCCCCCTGGGTCTTGGGCAGCATGGGGCCTGTGTGTGGGGATGCCGAGGACAGGAGCTGGAAGGTGTAGGAAATTGTTTTGATTTGTTTTCTGGGACAGAATCTCATTCTGTGTCGCAGGCTCGAGTATAGTGGTACCTCTATACTGAGACCTCTGCCTCCTGGGTTTAAGTGATTCTCCTGTCTCAGCCTCCAGAGTAGCTGGAACTACATGCACTCACTGCCATGCCCAGCTAATTTTTGTATTTTTAATAAAGTCAGGGTTTCACCATGTTGGCCAGGCTGGTCTCGAACTCCCGACATCATGTGATCTGCCCGAAGTGCTGGGATTACAGGCATGAGCCACTGTACCCAACTAACAGGTCTAGGAAACATCTACAGTTGAGGGGAGGACTGGAACTTTCTCAATATGTAGAGTAGGGTCAAGCCTGTGAGATCTGAATGATCAGGGAGATCTCCGCTCATGTGGGGGTGGAGTGGGACGAGGAACATTGCTCACTTTGTTGTTGATGGGCCGTTGGACGGGGTGCAGGGGCAGGTGGACTCACCTTCTAGGGAGCCCAGAGGCCCTGCAGCTGGGGGCAGGAAGCAGCCTGAATGCCCTCCCTGCCAGTTAAATCCATTTTTTGGCACCCCCACCAGATCCCACTCATCAGGTAGGCGAATAACCAGACAGGTGATTCTTCAACCAAGCCAAAGCCCCGCCCTGGGAGCTCTTCCCTTCCTCAGCCTACATTCTGACCGCAAAGCAGCAGGAGCAGGAACTTGTATTACTTGGAGCCTTTTCCCCATGATGCGGGTCTAGTCCCTATTCTACAGCTGGGGAAACTGAGGCACACAGAGCTGATGCAGAGTAATCCCAGTTAGAGGCAGAGCTGGAGTCCAGACCCTCTGGGAGGCCACCAGCATGGAAGAAGGGGGCTGCCTCCCTTCTTGGAGCCCGGTTCCTGGTGGGTCTCATGCCTGGGAGGGAAAAGAATACTGGGTCCCCAGGCCCCTGCTGTAGACTTGGTTCCCCACTTCCATCCACCACTGCCGCGTTCTCAACACAGGGACCAAAGGGGCCTTTTGAAGTGAAAGGGTGATCATGTCCTTCCTAGGTCAGAGCAGAAGCCAGAGTCCTCCCCGCCATGCCCCGGCCTCAGGACCTCCCAGTCCCTCCCAGATGCATCCACTCTCCCTTACTCACATTCTGCTTCAGCCCAAACAGCTTGCTATTAAAACAGGCCAGGCACGGTGGTGCTTGCCCGTAATCCCAGAACTTTGGGAGGCCAAGTCTCTGGAGCCCAGCCTGGCTAATATGGTGAAACCCTGACTCTACTAAAAATACAAACATTAGCCACGTATGGTAGTGCATGCCTGTAATCCTAGCCACTTGGGAGGCTGAGGCAGGAGAATGACTTGAATTTGAGAGACCGAGGTTGCAGTGAGCTGAAATCACACCACAGCACTCCAGCCTGGGTGACAGCGAATGAGACTCCATCTCAAAAACAAACAGGCCAGGCACATCCCTCTCCCAGGCCTCTGTGCAGTGGTACCCCCACCTGGAGCTCTGTTTCCACACTGGCCCCATGGCTCTTGCTTGAACTTTACCTTCTCCTCAAAGCTGGCCATAGCCACACCATAGGATCCCCAACCCACCATCTCAACAGTGTTCTTTCTCTAGCATTTGCCACCTAAGGTCTGGCTCAGTGGTGGTAAATGATGAGCAGTGGGCCACACCCAGCCTCTGGCCGGCTTCTGCAAGGCCTGCAAGAAAGAAGGGATTTGTGTGTTTAAAAGATTACAAAACAGGCTGGGTGTGGTGGCTCATGCCTGTAATCCCAACACTTTGGAAGGCCAAGGCGGGGGGTGCATTACCTAAGGTCAGGAGTTTGAGACCAGCCTGTAGTGACAAAACCCTGCCTCTACTAAAAACTAAAAAAACTTAGCCAGGTGCGGTGGTGTACGCACCAGTAGTCCCAGCAACTCGGAAGGCTGAGGCAGAAGAATCCTTTGAACTCAGGAGGCGGAGGTTGCAATGAGCCGAGATCACACCACTGCATTCCAGCCTGGGCTACAGAGCCAGACTCCATCTCAAAAAAAAAAAGGAAAAAAAGATAATTACAAAACAAAAGGAAATGTGACAAAGCAGAATGGCCTGCTTAAGAGGTGACTCTCAGGCTCTCTGCAGGGAGCTGTGTATACCCTGCTGTTGATGATTTCTTGGGCTTCGCGTCTGTCTCTGAGAAAAACTGAGCTTCCTGAAGGCAGGGTTCAGCTTTGCCCACTGCGCACCTCCGAAGCAGCTCCTAAAATCCTGCCTGCACTGGAACCGTGCTCACGAGGTCTCTATGGAGTGAGGAAGAAACTCCAGCTTCCTCTTCTGTGAAATGGGGAGTGAAGAAGCCTCTGTGCAAGGGCGGTCAG